CAGCACAAGGTGGGCTGGCGTTAGCAATGGTCCGATCCAAAGGATCGTTTTGGCAGGAAGAGGCTGCCTGGTTTCACCACCCACCACCCTGCAGCTGGAAAACATCGCTCCACACGTGCTCTTTCACCCCCACGCGCGATATCCATCCACCTGGGGTCTCCATCGGCCTGGGGTCGGCGCTGGCGGCACGCGCCCGGGTCGATCGCCGATCTGGGGCGGCGAGTCCGAGGCCTCCACATCAGGTGGGGAGGTTTGGGCACCCAGCTCAACCCAGCTCCGGAGGTTTGGGCACCAGCGGAAAGCCCAAACTTGGAGCAAGCCCTCTTTCAGATCGAGCCAGAGGCCCAGTGAGACTGAAGAAACAGAAGGGCGGTGGTTTTCCATGCTGGAATTAGCAAGGTGGTTTTCACACAAATCCCAGCCTCCTCCTGACCACTAGTTGGTGTTGGATGAATCTCATTACCAGTTAATGAAGGCCGACATCCCGAGTACTCACTGTTCCTGGTATTGGGCTACACCATGATGTACAATGATACACCCTAAGTTGGTGTATGATGTGTATGTAACTATCTAAAAAGATTCACTTGTCCGCTCCTGCAATGACCAAGTGTTTGTTTTGTGTGTTGCTTCCCTTCAACTTCTGACAGGAACCCCTACCTACCAGAACTATTGATCTGAACCAAACTTGTTTGAGAAAAGTTTAAAAACAAAAGGACTTCCGTGGCGAAATGTTCCTCTCGGGTCCTCTAATCTCTTACACAAATATGGGCGGACAAACGAACCCGCATGCTCCCTTCCTGACCAGTTCAACAAATTGAGGACAAAACACTCACGGGACTCCCAAATTCCTACAAACTGCATTCCAAACGGAATAGACTCGCCTTGCTTTTGGATCAAGCAACAGTCAATCTCGTAAAGTTGATCGTTTCCGGCAGCTGGCCTTCAAAGGGTGTCCAATGGAGGTCCCTTAGTAGTGTAGGGGCTTCCATTGGTGACCCCTTTGAGGGTGCTGGTATACACAAACACAACACAAGAAACAACATCAGTGATCGAACACATCAGCGCTGAACCCACACGAGACGTCGTAACCTGGCGTCCCGACTCGAAGAAGCAGCACTTCGTGCCAAAGCCCTCATGTGAACCTGGTGCCGGCGCAGTTGATTCCGGCAATGAGGGAATGAATTGAGGCGGCTAAAGGATCGTTGAATGTGATAAACCACTGCTCCTGGCATCGTGGGAGGTATATGGGGATACTCAATCAATTGCTTTTTGCAGGGTGCTGCAGAAGAAACCATTTCTGGCCGTACTCACAAAGTTTCCTGAACCATATAGTCCGAACTCGAGCAACGGAAGCCAACAATTTGGAGTTTTCTTAAGGGCACGTCACACAAGTCTTCAACCCAAAGGCAAATTGAACGCATCTTCATCCGCTGCGAACGTGGCCACCTCTGCGAGGCTTCTGCAGCTGCAGAAGGCGCACACCCAGTGCTGTGGACTCGCTGCGGACGGGCCATCTGCCGAGTGAGATGGGCCAACGCCAGTGATCGCGAGCACACGAGTGAAACCACATGGTACCATTGGATCATCGGTTTTTAACCGATTGCCCGCTGGTGACGCATGGCCGCTCGACCACGGAGCCACCATGTGCCGTTCGACTTCGTCGACCGCGTGTGAAAAAAAATGAATAAATAACCGATTGCTTCTCATACATCCGAATGCGTTCCGGATTGCGATGGGTTCCAGTTTATAGTTCAGGTGCTGGAGGTTGGACCTGTGTTTGCCTCTTCTGTTCTGGGTGGCGGTGGCAACTCAGCGTCCGGGCGACAGTGAGTGGAAGCCACCTCTGCCACCCGTCTCTCGGACTACTCACCACCACCACGTCTTCAGCCACTTCGGATCATAGTGGATCATCAAATGATCATGATATAACAATATGGATACCATATGGATACCTCTAGATCTGACTGGATATTCTCACCGGAAAGTCCAGTCGACTCATGTCGAGACAGGCTCAAAAAAAACCACCCGAATTGTTTGGTCCACCTGGGGGCCAACAATCAACGCCTTCCAAAAAGCCCTCTGGCCCGAAGACTTTGACACTAACCCAATCAGTTTGGTCTGTCCTTTGGGGACAGTCTTTTCTCTCAATGCTAACTGCCTTCCACCCTCCCTTCTACCGATCCCTTATTCTATGGTACGTACCTCAGACCTTGATGTGGGGGCTCATAACTCCAATATATTTAATCCAACTCCATTAGCCCCGACTACAGGGCCAACACCACTAAGGCAGTCTTCAACCAATAAGAGAACTACTTGATTTGTTTCTGCAGACCAAGGGGGGTTCAAAACACCTGCTGAACCAGTCAGTCATCAACAACACAAAGTTCTCCGAGCTTGCTTCAGAGAGGTCCTCTTGCCCACACCCCATCTCCTGTTTTGCCACTTCATGCTTCCCTGTCTGATGCAGGGAACGGTGAGAACCGCAGTTGCAAATGTGACATGACTCTATCATACTCTATCTACGTTCCTTCTACTTTCGACGTATTATGTTGTGAGTTGAGTTGGGAAACCAAAACGCTCGCTGTTTCTTCATCCCCCGATTGAAATCAACCGAAAGAATGGGGCGGTCGTAATGGCGGCCGTGTTATCCATATGGAGCTCCTTCACTCTTTATGCTTTGGAGAGTTTGGATTGATCTCCCATGCCTCCACGACCGCATACTTGCCTACCGACCGCAAGACGACCGCACGCCGCACGCGTGCTGTGGAACGTGATTCTCAAAACAATGGCTTCACAATCTCTTTCATATGTGCTGATATGCTTATCGTTTATCGGGGCACTGGCGGCTTACTCATGGGTCGGGGAGAGCAGTCTATGTTGAAGCAGAGAACATACATAATATCAACATGTTAAGGGTGAAACTGACATGGGAACACATTGCTGACGATGATACGCGGCCACCCCACTCACGCAGCCGCAAAAAATAGCAAACGTTGGGACAAGAAGTCATACAACAAGGCTGACTTGATCCTGCAACTGGATGCCTGTCTCTTCAGTCATGTAGCACGGATGCCATGTCGGTTGACTGAAACCGTGCGGCCAGTCTGTCTGTGCAGCTGGAAACCTAAAACTCCCTTGCCCAAACCTACAAATATTTACCAGGGCGCCCGGTGTGGAGTGGTTTAAAAAAGACTCTTATAGAGGTTAAGGGGTGTCCATTAACCACCCCACACCGGTGGCCCTGGTATAAATGGAATTCTACGGCCATGATTTTGGATGAGCTACAGCTTCTGAGATGAAACTTGCATGAGATAAACCTCTGGCCTCATGCAGCATTGGGATACTTTCCAAGCAGGGCAAGAGAGGTCAAGCAAATTAAGTGCAAATCGGCAGTCACATAAATATCAGAAGAGCTTCAGGCTATGGGTCCATTCACCTATTTCCATCTAGTTTCCCAAAGTTCACGCCCAGAAATCTGAAAAAAATATCATATCATATCATATCATATCATATCCAAACGATTCCAAACGTATCTCAGGACATGAATAATCCTGGTTCAAGATCAATCATCCTTCAGGACTTTTGACCCACAAACCCCCGATAAACTCTTCCACCTCTGTGTTCGTTCGCAAGCTCGGACGCTCAATAGGCCAGTCCATCCTTCGGGAGGGGTGGCAAGGAGAGGGCTCAATGGCCACTCGTGCAACCCAGGGAGATTAGCTTGGTGGTGGATCTAATAGTACCTATATACCCCTTATGAAGAGTGGTTAATGGATGTGAATGGATGTGAATGGACACCTCAGACACCTCTAAGGGAAAAAACAACATAGACACGACTTCTACGATCTATACTTGCAGACATGTACTTAGAACGACGGTGTTGTTCTAACCCATACGCTTAGAACGTATATGTATATACCAGGGTGGTTGTTACATGTTGTTCCAAAAAGATGTTCGAAGTGTTTGTCTTACAGTATACAAGTCGATCGGTTGCCTCAGGCCAGATTCGGCATGTGTTTTGGGAGTGTCTGCCTCGTGTTCAACCTGAACCATCCATCCATGTCTTGACCATTCCCCTTGACCGGGCGGATGTTGCAAGGGCGCGAAGGTACATCTGTAAAGGGGCATCTTGCGCTAGAGGAACATACTTCAAGCATCAGTGGCCCCCAAACAAACTGTTTGACTGAAAGGCAGGGAAAAAACGAGCCAATGAAAGATAGGTTGGTCTCCCAACTCCTGACTCCTGAGCCACTATGAAGGGTTTGTTGTTTGACTTCCACTCCCTAGACTCATCATGGGCCAACGTGGAAGCGGCCGCATGGACCCGAATCGACTCGGATGAACCTGTTCCGGTGTGGTGCACTCACTCAACTCCCTCCACGAAACCACGAGCATGGCCAGGGAGTGTATGCCCACTTCTCGAACTGATTGAAAGGAAGGGGCATAACGGACCGGAGCTGTGTTCGGAGCCCTGGCCGTGGATGTGGATGGAGCGGAGGTTCGACCTGTTCGTAGCGAGTAACATGGCGATCCTAGCGGTGCCTGTTTTGAAGGGTCACGGTCCCCATTTTCTAGGGTACGAAGTGGAGGACCACTGATCCTCCTTCAACATTCAATCACCTCACCCTCTGGCCAAATAAATCCATCCAAAAAGTATCACAAAAAGATCGATTTCGGTGGATCCGTTTGGGCTACAGGATTTGCCATTCACACGGCCTTGACGACTTCTCAGCTGGAGTATATAAAGATATAACTATTTAAAAAAGAAACACCTTTTGTAATATATATATATTTTATACTACACTAGATTAGATAGGCACAAATAGCAAAAACTACCACTAGCTACAATTGACACAAACATGAATCTACGACGTACTTCGGCGATCGAATTTGCCTCCCCATGTCGCCTGCGCCAGCGACTGCGCGCGCCGCAAGAGGCTTGGCAACGCACTGGCGAAGGTCTCGAAGTCCACGGAGGGGCCAAAGCACCTTGCTGAGTCCACGAAGTATAGCGATGGCCTCCAACCTAGTAGCTAAGTAGCTATGGCCTCCAACCTCGCGATGGCCTCCAACCTAAGAGCGATGGCCATCTTCCCTTAAAGGGGAGTTGTATGGGCTTGTGAATCAACCCAACTTTGAATCCTTGACGAACCATCGAAGGGCTTGTGAATCAACCCCCTTGGCCCAGAAAACCATCGACATGAAAACCGGTCAATGGTCAACTCCGCGACTTCGGTGTTCCAGGACCTTCAAAATGACCGTCCTTGAGAACCTTGAGAACCTGAGGTCACTTGGGCTACCTAGAGAGGCCACCGGTCTGAAAAATTCGAGGTCGAACGGCTCAGGTCCTGGTCCGATTTCCGAAGGTTGCTCATAGCCAATGGAGGCGAAGAGTTAACTCCGGAAGTGGAATGAAGTGGAGTTCGCCACCTGTTTGTGGAGGAAAATGGTCATCCTTTGGATATGCTATCCACGTAATATGAGAGTGTAGCAGGGAGTGTAGCAGGCGAAGACAGTGCACCCAGGGGCCCACACGTGCGCGCCACATCGGCGTCCAAGGCAGGCAAACCGTACAGGTACGAGAGCTGCCGCAGCGCCTTGCGACCACAAATCCGTGCGGCGTGCGTGCCGCTGCTGGGGTGTTGAACAATAAGAGGCACGCAGTGGCTGTGTTAGGGTGTTGTATAATCCTTTTTCAAGAATAGGGTTATCCCTTGACAGAACATGAGACGTCTCGCCACGAGGCCTGCAGCATGGGGAGATACCGAACCCACTCCGAAGGAAGGGATACCGGGCTCCCCTCACAGCTCCAGTTCAGAGGAAATTAGGATGACACTAGCCTGCCGAAGACCTACTTGACGCCACTTGCAAAAGAGAGACCCCATATTGCCTTCTATCATCTTCTATCTATCTGATATCGCATCCGTCTGATTGCGAAGTCTGCAAGTTGCACAAATGCAGTGGAGGGACCATCTTTTTGGTCGACCCAGCATCAAGCACATTCAGTTTCACACATTTCCACGTAGGTACGAAAGATATGCAATGTCAGGTTGCATTCTCAGTCTCTCCTCTTCATTTCCTGCATAGAAAAACCCAGGAAACGACAAGGGAGGGAGGCACCTCTAAGACCTACAAAACACATCAAAACACACAAACGCAGGTGAGCTTCCTGTCCGCTTGTGAAAGGGGCTTCTAGGGTCTCTCTGTACTTCACCTGTGCAACTCTTTTGTCTCTTCCAAAATCAACGAGCTGCCTGGCTCTACCATCCACCATGGCCACCCAACATGAACACATAATCGTTCAACAACTGAAGAATCAACAACCAACTACGGGATACAAAAGAAAGGGCCTTGGTCACCCACCGATGAGAGTGGTTGTAAGATGTTGTAACGACCTCTAGCCCAGCACGGTGAGTCCAGCTATAAAAGTTGATCCAATTCCTTTGATTCCTTTTGATTCAATGTACTGTTTGGTTCATACCCGAACCTCGCCCCGACCTCCCGGACCCACCGCCATCGGCCACGGTACCCCCATACGGTTTAGGCCGCACCGTCAAGGCCGCCGCCGTGTCGATGAGCGCATCGGAGCGGTCTGAGGAGCGCCCCCCGGAGTGGAGCGCCCAGCGAAACTCCTGGCGGCCGAGAGCGAAGAGCGGAGAGGCGACCGGCGACGGGAGAGCGGACCTTTCTGCGGGCAATGGTTGGAAATGGTGTGAAGCGAATGTTTTGGGGAGACTGCGTATAGGAAGCGGATGATGGGATGTCTGTCGCCAGCGGAGTAGGAGTATATAGTGTAGGACGGGTACTGTAGGATTTTCGATTGTTCACAAGGCTTCGTGATGGTGAAGAAGAGTGGCCCCCAAACTGCACATAGTGAGACGTCATGATTGCTCTGCGCTTCTCATGTGACAATGACGAATGATATCGATGAGCCACCCTGGAACATAAAACGCAAAATTACTCGCACACACTGCATACACAACCATGGTACACCACCCGAGGGTGTATTCTGTTTATCAAAGTCAAAACTCAAGCAGTTCAGTCTCAAGTGTCAAGCATTATTCAAACGGCGATTAAGATTATTTTGTTTAGGAGTGCAGTAAGATATTTGTCTGCCTAGTCTGACCCTGCTGCTGAATGCAGGTGTTCAGCCAAAGAGCAAAACAGTTGGAGTTCGCCGCACATTCAGTCCAGCGGCCCCATTTGTTTTGGGTGTTTGCGAGTCCAGTACTGCTTTGGAGTCTGATCCATTGCTTTCGAGTCTGATCATCTGATCACGGTTCTTCTGGGGCCCCCTTGATCCCAGCTGGATGTGGAAGATATGAACCCTATGAGCTGTAGGGCATGTTGTTCTTTATATTCGGAAGGCATGTCGTTTTCTTTTGGCATACGCAACATAACCAGCCTCATCCACATGTCTCGGATCAAACAGTTGGACTCCGGTCTTTGCATCATATTTGTTCGATGTTTTTTGCGTCTTGAACTTGAGAGGGTGTCCCAGTCCTCAGACCCCCCCCCCCGCCGTGGTGTTCCTTTTCTAGTGTCCGTGGATGGCGACGTGATGGACGTTGAAGTCATGTCCAACAAATGGCTCGTCAAGTGTTCAAGGTCCAGACCAGGTATCAACCAAAATAAGTTTATACCAGCCGCTTCGAACCTGGCACCTTGTGTCAGTCCTCCCAAACCCAGTAAACCGCTTGGACTTGCTGCGTCCAAGCAATTCACACTTGTTTGTTGCCTTTATTTGCCTCTGGATCGGCTCGAAGCCGCCAAGACACACAGAGTGGTGCTTCTTGGGTGGTGCTTCTTGGAGGCCTACCAACACCGTATGTCATATATATACATTGGGCGGCTTTTCAAGGGTCAAAGTAGGCATATATTCCACACATGGAGTGTTTGGGACATGGGCTATGTAATACAAGTACGGTAACATAGGGAGACCTCCCAGTTCGACACCCCGGAAGAAGAGCAATAGACCAGTCTACCCATTGGGCCATGGGTCTCCCTGAATACATCTGAATACACACCCATAAAATGCCGGCTTTTGATGAATTAAGCCTCCCAGACATGGATTGAACAACCTCGTCAGGCTATGTCAGGCTTGAGGGGTTGACATATACTCATTACATCTCATTACAAACATACACACCCAAATAAAAGTTCTATCGATCCAACTTGCTGGTCGGAGCCTGTTGGAAGCATTTGGAACCTCCTGCGTTTTGGATTGCAGGAGAGGACTGGTGCCTGCGGTGCCTGCCCTCCACACCAGTTCTTGACTGCCATAATCTTCAACCAATCTTCTGCCACAATGTGACTTGGTCAGATGATTCCAGGAGATCCAGGGTTTAGGCTCTAGTGTTTAGGCTTTAGGCTTTAGGGTCTAGGTTTAGGGATTTAGGGAAGTACGCACCCACAGCCACTCCGCTCCTGTGCCGCAGCGCTCCGCAGGTCCCCCTCATCGGACAGCAAGCGCTCGATCTGCGCCTGGCGCCCGGTGGGGCCAGCGCCCGGCACGGGCTCCAACACGACCTGTCTGAGATTGGCATCTTTTTGTTAACCTTGAGTGGTTGTTCTGCAGGGGTCAAATGTATAAATCAAGATGCCAGGTCTCAAACAGGTCGTGAACATCACAGTCATCAGCATGTGCTCCTGAAAACCTCCAAACCCTCGCAGCATTGCGGACATGATCTGGTTCCGAAGCACGGTCAAGGACCCTACGAAAAGCTCCGGATGGTTCAGGATCTGTGACTGAAGATCCAAAGGTATATTTTTTCATATTGTTTAGGTTTCTTTGACTGACTGGTGATCCATTTACTCAGGAGGCTCTTCTTTCTGGAACTTGCCAGACTTTGAGAAGCCCTCGACACACTTGGCAGAAGATGCAAAGAAGGCTGAGGAAGAGAAGAAAGCAAAAGAGGGATGATATATGCATTTTTTCCCGAAAGCATTGCGAAGGGTTCTTCCGGAAAATCCTTTGAACACTGACACTTCGACACTTACACTTCGACACTCACACTGACACACTTACACTTCGACACTCACACTGACACACACACACACACTGGAAGAGCGAAAGCATCCAAGTGCGAAGTATACCAGGGCGAAAGCATCCAAGTGCGAAGTATTGCCAGGGTCAAAGTATGCAAGTGTGAGTATGCAAGCATGCAATGACTATGCAAGGGCAAGTGTGAGTGTGGTAAATATGGAAAACTAGCCCGGGAGATGTCCTAATGAAAAAACATTTCCCCACTTTATAAATTCTCTCTTAAAGGCGGAGGGTGGGACGAACAGCGTCAACCGAAAGTGCAACCCTCTGCGGAGATCGTGCGTGTGGAGTGCGCGAAATGCAGGCAAGAGTGCGATTTGCCGGCTGTGCGCGCAACCCTCTGCGGAGATCGTGCGTGTCGAGTGCGCGAAATGCAGGCGAGAGTGCGATGTGTCCGGTGCGCGCGCAACCCTCTGCGGAGATCGTGCGTGTCGCAAGCGCGAAATGCAGGCGAGAGTGCGATCTGCCGGCTGCGCGCGCAACCCTCTGCGG